GGGGGGGTGTGTTCCTGCGTGCAAAAGTGGGAAACATAGTTTCTTTGCATGCATCCATCCTGATATAGCATTTATCATTATTGATAGTGCACCTAAAGACAAGAAAATATGAAGGTGCTAACCATATAAATGAGCATACCTTGAATTAAGAGAAAGACCAGCTCCCCATAAGCTGAAAAAGGAAGTCTTTTGTGAAGACAATATGCCAAAGCTATGGTAAAACCAATGACTTCAAGCTCAAATGCTGCAACGCTAAGGCCCTGGACACTCTTATGCTTCAAAATTTTTAATATCTGCATTGAAAAATTAATGGTAATTAATAAAATAAGTGAGATGAGAAGATATAACTTTTTAAATAATGTCTAGGCAAATAATGTGGTCGGATCTGCTGCCCACAAGCTGTTCCCACATCCCTGCCCACAGGACATTACAGCTGCACATTGGGAATACCTCCTTGTTATTCATGGGGAGATGTTCCAAATACATGGTCGTGTTCTGTGGGTGGGGATGTGGGAAGAGTTTGTGGGTAGCAGATCTTAAGTGCAAATAATGGTAATAATAATTGGGGTGCAAAATGAAGAATCAGATTTATGTAACAAATAACAAAAAGTATCTCCTATTTTTAGTTATTCTATGCTGAATCAACTTTTGTGTATATTTAAGTTCCAATATCATTAGTTCAGCTTGTAAGAAGTTTTGTTTTCTACACAAATCTTTAATAGCTTGATCAGTTTGGCCTTTTACCACACTAGGGCTGGCTGCTCCTTTTTCCGAGAAAAGGTAAAGTATAATTATATTAATAAAAGGTCCTGCGTACATTGAGAAGCTGTACAATATAGAAGGACCTCACAAAAAGACCATCCTCAAAAAGTATAATTAGAAGTATTGTCTCTAAAATCAGTATGCATAGACATACAACTTCTAATAACCTCTATGGCCGAGTTAATGACCTCGGCTTCAGTAGAAGATTTTTTTTGATAAATGAAGAATTTATTAGAGAAAGAAATCAGGAGCAACTGTTACAGAAGACACTTGGAGAGGCACGAGCTGTGACCTCTCTAACCCATCAAACACTAAAAAAGATTACAGCTGACCCCAGTAGAAGATTTTTTTTTTCAAATATCCTATGACCACAACCCACAGAACTGCCGGAGGGATGGAAGACCAGCATATCTTTCCTTTCTTGGACAGCCCCTGAATATGCCATTCCTCTAACAGAACTCTCACTGAGGCTGGCATGCACCAGCTTAGGTTCAGGGATTTCAAGAAGTGAGTACAAACTGTACAAACTGCAGAACTAAACTTGCGGTGAAGGAAAAGATGCCCGGAGGATTCTACTTGCACATTGCAAAAACAGCACCTCCAATCTGACAAGTTAAAGCCTTTTTTCAGCAACATTTCTTTGGACAAACACCTCTCTAAAGCTGCCACCCATACAAAAAACTTGACTTTTGGAGAAGCCAAATTCCCTCAAATGGCCTGACTGGGAAAAGGGGCTTCAGACCTCCCCACTCGAATGTTCTAGAAAGATTTAACTGTGAACCCCAGACTTTGTCCATTTCCAAACTCTTGATGCTTGCATTTACAAATTTAGCTGCTGGCCTAGTAACAAAGTAAGAAAATTTGCCACCTGCTGAATTTCCCAGTCACTAAAACTTCTCCTAAAGGGAGGAACCCAGCATAGCCTACCTTCCTGGATCAAAAGAGAATCAGTCACTAAGGCCTCCTTATCTAAAGCCACGTTATACAAGGCAGGGAACAACTCTTTTAGAGTGCTGTCACCAGTCCAGTTGTCTAACCAGAACCTGGTCTTACCATAAGAGCAGGAGGGAATAACAGCATCCCACCCATTGTTTCTTAAGCCATATTTCTCCTCAATAACCTTCCTCCAGAGTTTGTTTGGTTCAGTTGAAAATCTCCACAGCCAGCTTCCCAATAGGGCTGGCTGCTCCTCATAGGACCAATACATTCCATACTTCAGTTAACTTATCAAGTTGATGGATTTTGCTGCAAACCTTACTCTAGTGATTCAGAAACTTTAGGAGTGATTTGCAGAAAGTTGTAGTGATATTGTGCAATTAGTCTGTAAGTGCAATTTATGTTTGGCTATTGAAGAAAAGCTTTAAAATTGGATAAATTTACAGCAAGTTATGCACAACTCTGTCTTTTGATTCTCATTGCTATGTTTTCTTGTTTTTTTTTTTTTTGAAATAGGTAAACTCTGCCTTTCTCATTACTATGTTTTATTGTTGATCTTCTCGTTACTTTGTTTCAGTCTCAACCAAGAGAAACCCATCCAACCCAAATCACCAACTCTAGGAAACCACATAAATTACAAGGGGAACTTAATCTCCTTCAGATGCTCCTTAGTGATTCATATCTAAAATCCTTTTGCCCCATCTCTTTCTGTCCCTCTGTGATGAAATTTCACACTGTTTCTGAAAAACCTGAAAGGTAACATATGAACTCTCTCAGGCCACATACTGTGATCTCCAAACCCAGAATAACTTCATTCCTACTTTCCCAACATAATGATGTAGGGCAGGCTAAAGAAATCAGGTAAAATAATGACTTTGGTCAAATTAAGGCTGGAGATGAAAGAAACTAGAGAGAACAGAAAAAAGTTGATAAATACCAGTGAGAGTAAAAAATGGTTGAAACTAACAAGAAATCCATTACCCAAACAAAAATACCGTATCCTCAATTTTATCAGGTATGATGTCAACTCTGGTACTTCTGTTTTGTTTTGGGAAGACATCTGGGTGGGCAATTCTGCTATTAAGGTCATTTTCCCTCCTCTCTATTCCCTTTCTCTCTACAAGGATAAAGCTATCTCTCACTTTCTTTCAACACTTGTTTCTCCATCCTCTCTGAATCAGGACTTTGGGTTTCGTAGGGGCTTGAGGGATCATGAACTCTCGTGTTTCAGACCTTTTGTCACTACTTGAAACTTGAAAGTGTTTTTCTGGACCCCCTCAGATCTGATGTGAGACTATGGTCCCCTCATCCAAAAGGTTACTTCACATGTGCCTCTTTTCTTTAAGTCCCTTTGCTCTTCCCCGGGACAGTTGGGTTTTCCAGCTAAGGAGATCTGGTCTAGACCTGTACCTCCTAAAATTATTATTTTCTGCTGGGAGGTGTTCTATAGGAAGATCAACACTTTGGACTACTTGTAGAAGAGAAGGCCTTCCATGTGTTTGTCTCCTAACTAGTGTGTACTTTGCAGGGCTAATGGTGAGGATTGCTCCCACTTACTTTTAACCTGTTCTTTTTCTGCTGCTATTTGGGGTTGGATCTTTGCCTTGTTTGGGTGCAGGTGGAATTTGACTACAACCGTAGATCAGCTCTTTGACCCATCCTTCTTTGTGTGGCCCACAAAAACTGGTAAAACAATGTGGAGGTGCATTAGAGGTGCTGCTTTGTGGACAATTTGGGAAGAAAGAAATGCAAGGCTATTCCAAGAGAAGGAAGAAATATTCAGGCTGTAAAGGATTGTATTTTGACTAGGGCAATCCACTAGCTGAGATCTTTGGACTCCTTTCACACATTCTCTTTTGATGACATTTGGAGGAACTGGATAGTTGTGGCTAGTAGCAGTACCAGCCTACTAGGAAGAACAGGGTATCAGCTGTGTGGGTGCCTCCTTCCGAAGGCTGGACAAAGTTGAATTTTGATGGTAGCAACCAAGGCAACCCATGTTCTTTAGGGATAGGAGGGGTGATGAGAGATAAAGACAGCGATATTTTAGCCTTATTCTCAGGCCCGTGGGTATAGGAGATTCTATAAGAGATGATCTTCCAGCGGCGAAACAAGGTATTCAGATTGCAGACCAGTTAGGAGTTCAGAATCTGCTTATTGAAGGAGATTCAAAAGTTGTTGTGGGTTAGCTAAAAAATCTAGTTTCAGTTATTTGGTGCTACAGGGACCTTCTGAGGAAAGTTAATTGGTTTTCAAGGAACATGACTGTTACTTCTCACTGGGTGGGTAGAACGGCAAATACCATAGCAGATGAATTAGCTAAGCAAGGGGCATCAAGGGAACATTTATTCTGGGCAGCTCTGTAAATTTTCATTTTCCTAGTCTGATGTAATACAATGTTGTTGTTTAGGAGGGGCACCAGCTTGTGCCTCTCCTTGGGCAGTCTGTATTGTATTATCAAATTGATGTTTTTTCAAATAAAATCTCACTCATTTTTTATCAAAATAAAAAAGATGGAAGACTTACTTTTGAATTGGTATTTCTAGTAGATGCTTGTTAAAGATTAGACTTGTTCATGGGCTGGGTAGCCCGACGGGCCGGCCTGGCCTGGCCCGCCCCAATCTAAGTTGGGCTTGGACAGGATTTCAGGTCCGCAGGCTTGGGCTCAGGCCTAAAATATCGGGCCCGACCTTTTTTTGGGCCCGAGCCCAACTTGATAATGTACTATATAATAAAAGAGCATATATATAATATATTGTTTCTTTATTTTTCTTCTCCTTTTTCAAGTAATAATGAGATCTTTCATTATTTTTTTTAGGTTTTGAGGTCTTTTAATATAAATAAAATATTTTTAATTGAATTAAAAAGTAAAAAAATCTTTTTTTTTCCAAATTTCTGGCCGGGCTCGGGCTTGGGCCTGAACATATTCTATTAATGTAGAGGGGCAAAGCCTGGCCTGGCCCGTAAACAGGTCTGTTAAAGATAATCTATTTTAGAAGTATAATGTATAACCAATGCTGTCAAAAGGAAAACAGTTCCTATGGTATACAATTAGTTTTCTACTTTACTCGACATTCAATGATAAGCCAAAACAAGCCAGCAATTAGACAACTATCATCGTCATCATCTAAGCTTTGTCCCAACTATATGGGGTTGGCTACATGGATCCTGTTTCACAATTCTGTTCAGTTCAGTGTCATATCCAGCAATTAGATAATGATAAACCAAAAAAAGTAAAATAAAGAATGACTTGATAATATACATACCATTACAAGATACTATATGGTAGAGGGCTTATGCAAGGTAAATGCCATTTTTTCTCAAACTTTGAAATTTGAATTATTGGAATTGGAACTTTGAAGGCATTTGATTCATATTTGTCTTTCCATATGAATGCCAAGTTTTTCAAAACCACATCATGTTTTTTATATTTATCTTTTACATCTTCTAAATAGTAGATTTCTATTAAGCGGTTAGGATGCAAGACTGTGATGCCCGGATAATGGATACCGATACAGACATGAATACTGGAAATGGGGATACTACTCTCTTTCCTAAAATCTTAGAGATTGATATGGGTACAGGTATCCCATATAATATGTTTATAACTGTATATCATGTTTCTATATCTAGTTTTTGAAGCTAAGTGTATCAAAACTTATGTCTTGCCAAATTTAATTAAATATCTAACATATAAAAATCATTTATAGTGTGTTTTGTTAAAATATACTATTTCATATATTTTTAAAGTGTTTATTCTATTGAGTATATAAAAAGTGTTCATGAGGTTTTTATCCAACCTCTTCAAAGTATTTAGGGGTTGAAATGAGATAAATCAAGTTTATCAACTTTACTGAATCTATCATTCTATAGGACTATTTTTCATAAGGGAATCTGTGGAAAAGAAAAGAGAATTATGTATGAGAGCACTTGTCCAAAGACTCCAAACCGGATTTCCTGCCCACCTCTCTCTACCCACACTCTACCTGCTGTGAATTGCAGCCACACATCGCTGTCTTGTATTTTGAGATGTGCGTGCTGCAGTGTACTGTGGGTAGAGAAAGTGAGTAGGAAATCTGGGTTCGCATTTGTCACAAGAATCAGCAACACACACAAATATTAATGAGCCTGGAGATTGAAGCATGAGCACTCCATTGTCCTAATATCTTATAACTTGCTCCATTGAAGACAAATTAGTAACTAAAGAAGGCACAATAAACATGATGCATAGGACCTTTTGGACCTTAAAGAGACCAAATGGAAGATTGGCCCATGTTTTGAGAACAAAGAACTTATCAAAAGACCATATTATCTTCAAGGAGAAGTAGGCTATGATTTTACAATTGATTAATAGTGATTTAAAAAAGAAAGTCCAATTGATTGGCATCAAGGGTAATTAATTTTCAATTTTCAACAACTAATATGCCTGTAAAGATTAATTTCTGGTGTTTCCAATTACTGGGTGCTACACCTCCATGGATATAAAGATAAAGCTCTAAGGAATCTCTCATGAAACTAGAAATGCCTTCTTTTATAATCTCATGAAACTAGAAATTGTTTCCCAAGAGGCAAGTCCAAACTCTCCCATTGCTAACACCAAAGTTCAAGATGAATATCTCCTCCCAACAAGATACAAGCACCATTTAAATGATTCTATTGCTAGAACCATCTAAATATATAAAAGTACAGCTTTTCTAGGATATCAACTTCATAAACCTAAGAACAGGAAGGTTGCAATTCTTTCCCTACATAAGTTATTAGAAGCAGTTCTCATAACCAGTTGATAAAAACAGTAAGTTTGTCATCTTTAACAGATGAAAAGTTCATCCAAATGATTTTCCAATTTACAAGTAAACTCCTGACCCTCTATATCGACTAATACATTTCTGACGGCACTCATAGACAACCTTTCTCCATCTCTTGGTCAAATGCAATTTAAAGGCACGACTTTTGAACTGATTTGCAACATAAGAAAGACTTGTATCTATTAGGATCAATCAGCGAAGTACAAGGCCAACATTGAGATGTTAGTTCCCTTAAGAGTGACAAAGAATCAATCAGCCATCCTTCCTTCATAAAAGAAAAGAAATTCCCGGAGAGACAATTGGGGGATCGTCAGAAACCCAAGTTTTCGAGAAAATGAAACCGGGAGACAATAAAAGATGAGGACCCTTTTAAGTATAAGCGCCCACTAGATCAACATCGAAATTCGAACAGAATAGCAAATTGAGTTGCAGTTGTCAGTCCTTTAAAACATTTTGAATCTAGGGTTTACCGGGATTTTTTTTTTCTAAAAGGGGTTAGACGATGATCACCTGTGGCACTTTGACGGTGGTGGAAGCGGCGACGATACAATAGCCGAGGAGCTTCGATATGAGAGGAAGCAGACAGTCTTTGTCGGGGAATTTGCCGTTGCCGAGCGATGCCAAAGCGCAGCTGAAATCCATCCCGAAGATCTCCATCTCTGTTCCTCTCCAACTGATCGATCACAAGTCAATAACCAATTAACTCACTGGGCCACCTTGACTCTCTGCAGCTCCAGGACTCCTTTGATGCCAGTCTGACATGAGAAGCATCCCGGGAAAAAATAAATGAATAAATAATAAATACAAAATTAAAGTAAAAAACCGGCTCATCGCCCACCGGGTTCAATTATGGGTTTGAGTTGGGCTGGGCTGGATAACTGAGGCTTGGGCCGGTACCGTGTAAAACCTAACCCGTTACCGTGAATGCATACATCTTCTGGTTCTAAGTTTCTAGTGTTTACAAAACGAACGGCCGCGCGGTCTAACAACCAGAGTTCCCAACTCTGATTTCCCTTTTGAGATTCATTCTCTCGCTTTCTCCTCATTTTTTTTCCTGGGACGACTGTGCAAATGGATGAGAAGATCGCCTGCGCGGAGAAGGAGGTATCTTTTTCCTCTCTCCATCTCTCTTCCTCTCTCTCTCTCTCTCTCTCTCTCGCCTACACACTCGTAGAGCCATACAACTTAGTTGATTTATATTATAATTTATTTTATTGTTCTGCCAATAGGACTCTATCAAAAGAGCATTACTTGTTTTGGGGGTTTAAGATGCGTTTTCTGTATGCGAGTTTTTGGGGATTCAGTTTGGCCAGATAGTGACTAAGACGGGAGTCCACTTAAAGTCTTCATATCACTCGATACTTCACGGTTTGCAATGCAATATTAAGCAATCAATGAATCAAATGTGTTTTTGAACCTCCTAATAATTAACGCTTACAGTTTGGATGAAGGTACTGCAAACTGAGCCATGTTAGAATTTGATTAGTCTGCGGTTGCATATAAATTGAACTCTGAGCTGAAACGTGAAGCTAGAATCGTGCACATCCCACTGATACTCAATCCTTCAAATGAAAGTCCTATCGTGCATATAGACACTATGGAATCGTTTGGTAAAGTTCAACAAAAAAATGACAACATTTTCAATGTTTTTCTTTTCCCAGGGAGCTGAATAGGAATCATTTCTGCTTCTGATAAACAAGAAAACAATAGAAATAGTACTTTGAAACATTTCCAACCACCAACTAGGTTTCTAAAGGACCAACCAAAACAGAATTGTATTCTTTTTCTATAACCATCTTTTCATGTGGATGCATAGCAATTGAGTTAGAGATGAATAAATGTGGTATCATGGGCATTAAATTATGCTTAAAGGTGCTTGGCTGTAGCAGATTTTCTATGATCTTGTCCGAGGTAGCAGCTACTGCTGGGCTCCCCCTAACACTATAGTGGAATTTATCAATCAATGGTCTGCTTGCAGGTTAGGGTCCAGGGGTAGACTCTATTGGAAACTGATTATGCACGCAATCATGTGGTGCATTTAGGAGGAATAAAACAGAAGGGTTTTCAAGAACACGGATAGAATGTTGAGTAAAGTAATTTAAATGTCTTAGAAGATTCTTTGAGGGTCTTAGTCCTTGGGAAAGAGTTATGGGCCTGATCAACTCCTGGTTATTGACTAGCAAGCAATTTAAATGTCTTAGCCATGGGGAGTTGGATAGAATCTAATAGAAGTTCTGCACTGGTTCAGCTTGCCATCTCAGCCCTGTCACTGAGCCTAGGCCTGCTACTGAATTCATCTTGAAGTTTGATGGCAGCTACAGAAGTGTCCATGGCCATTTGCTGGCTGCTGGCAGGGGACTAATTCTAACTCCGAGGGCATTGTGATTTGGGCTTTCAGTGGGTCAATGGGTGTAGTCAATGCCTCTGAAAATGAAATAAGAGCTCTCCTCGTGGGCTTGCAAGTTGCTAAATCTATCCAAGTCTGCTCCCTATATGCTGAAGGGGATTCCAGAAATGGAATTGGATGGGCTTTGGACCTGGAGAACGGTCCATGGAGATTTGCCAACTTCCTCAATGAAATTAGAGAATAATCAGCCTCCTTAAACTGTTCTTTCAGATGGATTCTAAAGGATTTGAATCATATTGCTGATGGGGATTCCAGAAATATAATTGGGTGGTTTTGGACCTGGAGAAGGGTCCTTGAAGATTTGCCAACTTCCTCAATGATATTAGAGAATTATCAGCCTCCTTAAACTGTTCTTTCATATGGATTCCAAAGGATTTGAATCATATTGCTGATGCTTTGGCCAAGTCTGGGGTGGGTAGGGATTTTTTGTATAACGCTAATTCTTTGCCTTTGTAATTCCCTGGGTTGCTTCCAGTTATTTATTTATTTGGTTGTTTCACTTGTTTGGTTTCCCTTTGTTTGTACATCATCTCATGTACATCCCTCCCCCCCTAACACACACACACCCCTTTCTAGCAATGAAAGTTGTCTTTTCTCAAAATAAGTGCTTAAAGGGTAGCCGTTTTGTAGATGTGGATTTGAATAATTATGAGATTGTCAACAAACAAATGACTTGCCACGATACATAGAGTTCCTTATTTCTTCTTGTTGGCGTAGTTTAGTTTGATTTGATCTGACATTCTTTGAATGATGTATACTATTTTTCTCAAATAACATTTGTTTTTTTTTTCTTTTATTTTTGTCTTGGAATATTCACATGTTAATATGCTTAGGTTCTTGTCGAAATTGTGAGGTTGGCCCAAAGGCGAGGAATGAAGGGTGCAGCAGGAGGCTGGAAGGAATTCTTGGATCATTATGATAAAAAGTTGGGCTCTAGTTTAAGTGACCCTGCAAGGAGGTCAATTGATGTATTGGCTGCCTTTTTGAAGACATTCACAAAAGAAGAAGATCTAAAGGTTAGCGTTTTTGTTGTTGTTCATGGTGTTATTCACTACCAAATATGTTATCAATTGACTGATAAAAAATAGATTATGCTGTGCTTCTATTTTTTTGCAGATTTTTGCTAAAATTTTGCAATGCCATTCCAACCGTAAAGCCATTAAAAGTCTTTCTAAGAACTCTCCAGATCTCGAATCCCCTCAACAGGTATGAACTAGACAAAACTTAATAGCTGATAGTCAATGGAGTTTATAATGCCTGTCCAATTAGTTAAGTTTTGTCATATTTTGATGTGTTTCTTTGTTTTCCGTTTTTTTTTCTACCTTTTTTTCTGTCTGAATGGTTTTAACAGCTTTGAAATAATTTATGTTAGTTGTGCATCTTTCTTTAAAGCTCTTTGCTCCAACCCCTCCTCTCAGGTCTTCCCTGTTAAAGAGGTTTGGTCAAGGTCAATACCCCCCAAAATAGCAATGTTCTGTTGGGAAGCATATTATGGTAAGATCAATACTGTGGAAAACTTGCAAAAGAAGAAACCTTTTATGTGTTTGTCCCCAAATTGGTGCTTTATGTGTAAAGTGAAGGGGGAGGACTGTAACCATTTGGTGATATTGTGCTCCTTTGCTACCAATATTTGGAACTGGATTGTTTCCTTATTTGGGTGCAAGTGGAACTTGCCCTCTGAAGTAAAGCTGCTGTTCACTCCGACTGCTTTTGGGAGATTGACAAAAAGAGGGAAGCTAATGTGGAAATGTATCAGAGCCGCTACCTTGTGGACTTTATGGGAGGAGAGAAATGCTAGAATATTTCAAGAACAGGAAAGAAGTCTTGCTGAAATCAATGAATGTATATTGACAAGGACAATCTCATGGTTAAAATCTTTACATTTGTTGGCAGATTACTCCTTTGATGACTTAAGGAGAAACTGGGCAGTAGTGGCTTCTACAGTCTCCACCAAGAACAATTCACAAGTTGAATGGAAACCCCCACCGGATGGAGTGGTAAAATTGAATTTTGATGGCAGCTGCCAAGGTAACCCAGGGCCATCTGGAATTGGTGGGATTCTGAGAGACAAAGACAGCAATATGTTGTCTCTTTTTTCAGGAAGTGGGTGAAGGTGATTCTGTAAGGGCAGAGCTACAAGGTATATAGATGGTTAGTCAAATTGGATTGAACAATCTGTTAGTAGAAGGGGATTCCTAGGTAGTAGTAGGCTGGCTGAATAGCCCAAAAATAGCTTGTTGGGGCTACAAGGAACTGTTAAAGAAAGTTAAATGGATGACAAGAAATATGACTTTCAGGTTTCAGTGGGTCAAAAGATCAGCAAATGCAATGGCTGATTCTCTGGCCAAGCAAGGGGTGTCAAGGGGAGATTTGTTTTGGGTTACTTTGTAATTGTGTTTCAGGCCTGGGCATGTTTAGTGTATGTGGTTCAGTCCTCGGGGGAGGTAACATCTCGTGCCTCCTCCTAGGCTGATTGTATTTTTGTTATTTGAATTAATAAAACCACTCTCATTTATCAAAAAATAAATAATTTATGTTAGTTGGCAACCTTTCTTCACATTGTTTCATTTTAATCAATCCATTCATAGATGAAGTTTCATCTGTGTTGCTGGAAATCATTATTTTGATTCTGTTATTTGCTGGAGCACCTTAAAGTGTCTTCATTGAGGAGAAAAAGGACAGACTAGGTTTAGTAATTGTCTCATGTTGAGGCTCAGTTTGGTAGCTATTATGAATCAAACTTTGTTGGTTTGATTTATGGGGATGCATCTAATCTTCTTATAAAATGGAAGATGAATCCATTTCACAACTTATTGTGATTGTCACCATTTCACTCATGGAATTTTTCTTCTGTCACACTTTCTAAGCATCTTATTAGAAACTTTACAAGCCTGTGAATTCATTTTTTTGGTACATAGGGGAAGAATTCATAGTTTTTTCTTGATCATATTGTTTATCTTTGTTAACTTGTTATGTGGTAGTGCAGAGACTGGTCCGTTTAACTCTTGAACACCCACAGTATCCAATATACTACTCATTTCCATCCTATAATGAGGTTTGTTACTCTCTTCTCTTTTGGACATATTCATCTTTATTTTGCTTCTATCTATCTAGTTTCTCATCGATTTATCTCTTAATTTTAGTTTTTATTTCTTTAACTATTTACCCTAGATGTAAATATTTGTATGATTTTTTGTTATATGGACATGAAACAAAAGAAACTGATACTAGTAGTGCTCAATTCTAGGGTTGTTATTTCATTGCTCCATTGTTTATGATTTATTTATTTCCTTTTAGAACTTATCCTTTTTTATGGCTGTTATTTCACTTTTCTGTTGTTTATGATTCGTTTCCTTTTAAAACTTGTCTTTTTTATCAGCAAACTTGTCTATATACACATGTTATACTTCTGATTAATCCAGATGTAGTTTTTCAAGAGAATTTTCTCTTTTTTTTTGGAAAAAGCAAAGAATTAATCATATTGCATCAAAAGCGGAAAGCATGTACAAGTCCAAACCATGTACAACAGGATGCTATAAAATGGGAACACAATAGTCTCATAATCGTAAAAATTAGGCGTTATCTATGGCTTACATGGAGAGGTCAATGAACAGAAAGGAGGCACAACCAAGTGCAATGGAATCATAGACAGGATATTAGGAAGATAAGAAGGTTAGCAAGGGAACTGGAAGTGACCTTTCAAGTTTCAATGGGTACAGAAGGAAGGAAATGGATTAGCAGATACATTGGATAAACAAGCGGTCAATAGGGAACAATTCTTCAGGGCCTCAATGTAATATACAACCAAATTGGTTAGGTGGAGAAATCCAGCCTACAATTGAACTTGTGAGTTAATAGTAATTGTTCACGGCACCAATTGCTTTCCTTAGGTCTGCTTCTTTTGATGATAGACTATGTTTAGGATAATGTGAGCATTCCTTTCACCCTAGATCAGCTAAATAGTTGCATTTGAAAAATATTCTAGAATACTTTTCCTCTTCTGCAAAGACTCTTCAATTGCCAGCAGGAGAAAAAAGTCCAAGCTGGAAAGCAACCCCATACTAAGCTCCAGAGGATGGATTTATTATTGGCTAGAGTATATGCATGATTATTGAAGATCTGTATTATATCTAAGTTCAAACTTTTCCCTTGGTTAAAAAAAGGTCCAAAATGGAGTATAGAAAGCACCCAAAGAATCTACAAAGGATGGATTTATTGGCTGAAATACATGTATGAGTATGACAATTGAAGATCTGTACTATATGCTGGTCTGAACTTTTCCCTTAGCTAAAATGGTTACCAGTTTGTGAAATTGAAAGTCCTTTGATGAATATTTAGCATCACCATAGCACTTGGAGGTAGAGGGAGATTCAAAGCTGATCATTTCTTGGGCTAGGAATAAACAGCTTGTGCCATGGATCTATAGGTATGAGTTTAGGGAAATAGAAAGCATTACACAAGATCTCAACATTACATTCATTTGGGTAAGTAGGACTGCAAAGGGGTATATAGGCAACAGTTGTTTTGGGCGCTGTTGTAACATTTGTAACTTATGGGGATTGGAACTGTTTCCTTTGTAATAACCAGATTTAGCATCATTTAATAAATTTTTAAATTTCTTGCTGATAAAAAAAATAATGGCATCACCATTGACAACAATGGTGCTTAACTCATGTAATAAAGCTCATGATGTTATCTCAAACATGTTTTTCTCATTTGTTGTTTTCTTTGTCTTGCTTTGTTTTAGAAGAGGGGGACTTACTCATGTGGTAAGGTAGTCTAACTCCCTAGAGATTTTAGGAGGTTGTATAGTCCTGGTAATACCATAGTTGGGAAACTCCTAGATTTATTTCTTCAAGAACTTAGTCATGGTTCTGAATGTTGGTATTGATACTTTGCAAATGATAAATATTTTCTAAATCTTAAGTTTTAGCGATGACTCTAGGTTCAGTTAGGAAAGTCTTCTGCGTTAAAGCAATAGTTGTAATTAGAATAAGGAATTGGAATTCTTAGTCCAGAAGTTAGTTTTTCATCATTCAGAAAAACATTGATTGAATATATTGTATGTTTCTCAACTCTATCCTTTTCACATAGCAATTTTCAGGGCAAAAGTCATTTATACATGGCAGAAAGGGTCATCTTGATTTGACGTGAACGATCAGGAGGTGGACTAGCTCAGTCTTCCAGTTAAGAACTTAGGATTGTCTTCATTCATACTCTCCTGATTGAAAATAAACACCTTTTGTCCACAGATCCAGAGGGCTTATTCTTGGTGATTTTTTGTTTTCCCCCATCATTTGTGGGTCTTCTGACATGTTTTCAGTGAAGTTTCCTTGGAGCTTACCCATCAAAAAAAGTTTCTTTGGAGCTTGCACAGAAAGTGGCCTTGCCCCCTCTTTTTTTTTCCTTATGTGGATTGCTTTTCTGAATAAAGTTCTCACTGTCATTTTAGCAACACTAAAACAAAAATGTATTTGCCATTCTGGGAATAGTTGTCAAGGCGACGCCTAGGTGACAAGGCGCCCTTTGAGGCTTGCCTCACCTAATAGCCAAGCAGTTGTTTACTTTCTATTATAAAATACTTTTTTGCTCATTCTTTTTTGAGATTATAATTATAAAATAGACATTATTAAACTAAAATAATCAATTTTTGTGTTTATATACTAATTTCTTTTTATTATTTTCTTATTTATTAGGGTTTAATCAACACAAACATTGCTAAATGCTGTATTGAATCCTCAAAGACTTCAAAACCTGAACCAATAAGCAAGGAAGAACTTGAAATTTTATCTAATCAGCACATTTCCTTATTGATAAAAAAAAACAGCACATTTTCTTCTTCCATATATTCTTCTACTTCTTCTACTACTACCAATACTTTTTCTTTTATTCTTTTCCTATAACAGAAATAAGGGTTCAGCCCCTATATTTTTTGAATTTTATTTTCCTTCTCTTTCTTGTCACGAATATGTTGATTTTCTATACTTTAATATGAACTTTATACTTTTCTTATGAAAATTATGAATAATTATTAAGGAAATATGGTTATGGTACCTAGGGAACTACCCTAAGATCTATGTTTTTAACATGAAAAAATCCATCGCCTAGGTGACTAGGTGACAAGGCGTCCCCCTGTCACCTAGCCTCGCCTTGGTGCCTTGAAAACTATAAAATCCACCTGAATGAACAATTCAAGCTATTCCCCAAATTTCTAGCATATCTGACCCAAAAGAGTACATAGACCAAGGTGGCCTTCCCCCCTCTTTTTTCTTCTGTGGAATGCTTTTCTAGATTATGTTCTCAATGTCACTTTAGCAACTGAATGAACAATTCAAGTTATTTCCCAGATTTCTAGCATAAGTGACCACAAAGAGTACATAGACCAATGTACACCTCCACTGGATCTCAGCCAGTTAATTATTTGGCAATACCTCTTGTGTTCCTTTCCCATTTATGGATGCAGCAAAAACCAAATGGAAGATTAGTCCAGATTAGTCTTCTTTGCTTGAAGTTAATTGGTAACTGATGGGTTGTGCTTCTTCCCCATCCAAACTTTTGCTTGGATGGATGAAAACCTTCTGCCTCCACATGGCTGCATACTTTAGAATCCATTACCTACTACCTGATGTTGGACTGTTTGGAATGGATGAAATTGGTACATTTTTGGAGATGCTTTTGGATCCTTTGAGTAAAATAGTCAATCAAGTGAATGTTTTGCACTTTTTTTAGTATTCTGTTCTTGGATTTTTGACGTTGGTTCTAATCTTTTGATTTTCAATCAATATGATCTTTTTTGTTATCAGTAGTTCAATACAATCTCACTGACATACCCTTACCCAAACCATATAAATGCACAGATATTGATGCAAAAAGATGAAATAAACCAACAATCAGCATCTATCCTTATCACTTGGCGCCTATTAGTCATTATCATCAAGAAAATTTGGCATCAAGACCAAACAAGAAGCCAAAGTAAAATTTTATTTCAGCTCTTATTCTCCTCTTTTACAGCAATAATGTGGACCTTGTATAGACAACTATCAAAAACAAAATATGGACCTTGTATAGACTTGTTTCCCTAATATAGTGGCTCCCAAAATTATCAAAAGAAAAAAGATATAGCGACTCTTACTCATTGTCCAACTCATACATATGGTTCAATGATTTCGAAACTGACTAGGACTTCTAAAGAACCTTCAAAAATTGGCTTTTTGATCCGTTACAAGGTTGACATCAATTTCTAATAATGATTGCTACTTGGAGTTCACTGAATTTTCATAATTACATATTTTCTGTTGTACTTTATTAGTTTCCTGTAACATGCTTGGACTATTTTATACATTCAGAGTTTCTATATCTTTTTATGATTGACATAATTGGATTACCTTGTCAATTATGGGACATGCACTCCTGTTAATATGTTAGAATCTCAAAAATTTTGAAGCAGGAATGGGTGGTTACAAATCTAGGTAAAATCTCAAAGATAGCAAATTCAAATGAAATGTTCGCTGTAGATTGTGAGATGGTTCTTTGTGAAGATAATACAGAAGCAGTAGTGCAAGTGTGTGTTGTGGACCATAACTTGAAGGTATTTCTTGGGCATATTACCATTTCTTATGCACCATAAGCACTTCTGGAAATTTGTCTCTTGTTATTGTTTATTCCCTTTTCTTTTTGATCAGCAACACAGAAATTTATTAATTCATTAATAGAAAAAAGAAAAAAGAAAGATTACAACCAGAAGTTGTGAAAACACTGCCCAACCCAAAACAAGACAAACCCACCTAGTTGAATTACAGCCTATATTGTACATATGCTGTCTTTTTTTTTATCAATAACAGTAACTTTTATTAAGAAAAAATATTATAGAAAAATACAATATGAAGGGAGGGGTAAAAACACTTAACCCTCCCTAACATTAAAGGTCAGATTACAACACAGCCCAAAAGAGATTTGCTCTTCCCACCCCTTGTTTGGCCAAAGAGTCTGCCAGAGAATTGGCACACCTCTTGGCCCACTGAACCTGAATTTGCATGTTTCGAGTAATCTGGTTGATTTTCTTTTTTTCATTTAAGAACTTCCACAGACTAGAATCTTCCTCCTGCAACCAGCTAACTGTCAGCCTAGAGTCTCCTTCCACCAACAGATTTCTGATTTTCAACTGCTGGGCTCTTTTGATCCCTTCCAGAGCTGCCAAAATTTCATTTCTCAATGAATCCCCCCAGCCTATAGGTGCTGAGAATATGGCAATAATTCGGCCTTCTTCATCCCCGAACACTCCACCTATATTTGAAGGGCCTGGGTTTCCTTCACTGCTGCCATCAAAGTTCAATTTAATGAATCCCGAAGCTGGAGGAGTCCAAGCTGGACTAGGGGAAGAAGTCAAGGGAGCAGACCAAGCCACTTCTTTCCATTTTCGAATGATGTCTCCTGCTGAATAACCTTCAAATATCTTCATAGACTTGACCCAGTGGACCACCCTAACATATATTAATTCAATGATGGTTTCCCTGCTTTTTTCTTTCTCATGAAAAGTTCTTTGATTTCTTTCCTCCCACACAGTCCAGCATACAGCTGCTCCAGCACATCTCCACAATATTTTACCTCGCTTTTTTAAACGCCTCACTGATTAGTACTAAACAAGCTCTGCACACTTGAAGGGAAGGTCCACTTGCAACCAAAAAGAGAGGGCAAGAAACTAATAAGTGATAACAGCTCTCACCATTCTTCTTACATAAAATGCACCAGTGCAGGGATAAACACCAATTAGGCCTTTTCTTTTGAAGTAGGTTACAAGTGTTACACTTTTCTAGGATAGCTTCCCAGCAAAAAGCACCCACTCTGGGAGGAATTGGTCTACCCCAAACTTCTGAGACTGGGAAAGGAGAACCAAGGACCAGATTGGACTGTGTTAATTCTTTGAAAAAAGAAGAGCAAGAGAAAATACTCGACGGAACAAGAGACCACGCCCTATTGTCCACTCTGGAGGGGTCAATAACTACCTCCTCCAGAATCTTAAGCAAGTTAGAAATGGACTCCAATTCAGAATTTTTGTGAGCCCTTCTAAAACCCAGATTCCAATTAAAAGCAGAATTAGACAAGGTAAGAAAGGTGGCTACAGGCTCATTTTTAAACCTTGAGAGAGAAAACAAAGAGGGGAACTGCTCCTTCAAAGGAATGTCACCCACCCAAATATGTTCCTAGAATCTCAGACATACCAAAAACAGAGATCATACCTGATAAAAGGAAGAAAAGAAGGATGGCATGAATAGACGTCCAAGGAGAAGCCCTTGTAGCCCTAGATGAGATCCCCGTATCCCAGCCATCTGCCTCTTGCCCATGAATAGTTAGGATTATTTTAGCCCACAAATTCTCCCTTTCTTTATTCAATCTCCATAACCATTTCCCCAAAAGAGCTTCATTCTTCTTCTGTAAGTTACTCAAACCCAGTCCACCATCACTTTTGGCTTTTGTAACCAAGTCCCACCTAACTCTATGGTCCCTTTTCTCCTCCCTTGGTTCCCATAAGAAATCCTTCATTAATTATTCCAAAATCCTACATACTCCCTCAGGAATTCTAAACACAGACAGAAAGTAAATTGGAAGGTTTGCCAATGTTGACTTAATCAGAGTTTTCCTACCACCCAAAGATAGGTAATTTTTCTTCCAAGAGGCTAACCTTTTTGTGAATCTGTCAATCACCGGGTTCCAAAAGCTCCTCTTGGTAGGGTTATCCCCTAGTGGAAGCCCTAGATATTTCAATGGCCATTAAGCGGTCTCACAACCCAAAACTTGAGCCCTTTCTTCCACCTCTCTGACACTCATATTGATGCCAATCACACAACTCTTATCAAAGTTTACTTTGAGGTTAGCCACTTGTTCAAACACATTGATCACCAGGCACGAAGTGATAGATAGCATACATGGTAGACTGGAAAATGGATGGGGTGCGGGTGTATCACGTCAAGCTACGTTGGCTTCCTCGTGGAAAGTAATCCAGAGTATCCTCCCTCAGTTTCTCAACTTTGTCAGGTATAATGTCAATCCTGGTACCTCTGTTCTATTTTGGGAAGACATTTGGGTGGGTAATGTTGCCCTTAAAGACTAGTTTCCGTATCTCTATTCTATTTCCCTTTACAAGCAAAAAACTGTCTCTCATTTTCTCCCTTCTCCTGTTTCATCCCCCTCTTTAAGTTGGGACCTTGGCTTCCCGAGAGGCTTGAGGGATGATGAACTTAACAGTGTTTCAGATCTGTTGTTCCTTCTTGGCCGTGTCTTTTTGGACCCTCTTAGTTTGGATGTGAGATTATGGTCCCCTCACCCAAAAGGTTACTTCACCTGTGCTTCCTTTTTTAAATCCCTTTGCTCTTCCCAGGGACAATGGGGCTTTCCAACCAAGGAGATTTTGCCTAAACCGGTTCCACCTAAAATTATTATTTTCTGCTGGGAGGTGTTTTATAGAAAGATTATTACCCTGGACTGCTTGCAGAGGAAAAGGCCTTCCTTGTGTTTGTCCCCTAACTGGTGTGTACTTTGCAGGGCTAGTGGTGAGGATTGCTCTCACTTACTTGTAGCTTGCTCCTTTTCTAGTGCTATTTGGAGTTGGATTTTCTATTTGTTTGGGTGCAGGTGGAATATGACCACATATTTAAGTCAGTTGTTCGATCCCTCCTTTTTTGTGTGGCCTACAAAAAGAGGAAAAATAATGTGGCGATGTATTAGAGCAGCCACCTTGTGGACATTTTGGGAAGAAAGGAATGCAAGGGTTTTTAAGGAGGAAAGAAGCTCTCAAGCTGTTGAGGAATGTATCTTAACTAGGGCCATCCATTGGTTAAGAACTATAGGAAATCTATAGTGTGGATGCCTTCACCTGAAGGATGGGTAAAACTGAATTTTGATGGAAGTAGCCAAGGAAACCCAGGCCCATTGGGGATGGGAGGGGTGCTGAGAGATAATGAAAGCAAAATATTAGCATTGTTTTCAGGTCCCGTGGGAATAGGAGACTCCAATAGAGCTGAGTTGTTAGCGGCGGTGCAAGGTATTCAAATTGCAGAACAAATAGGAGTTCAGCACTTGGTAGTTGAAGGGGACTCTGAGATTGTTGTGGGATGGCTCAAAGAACCAGCTTCAGCTATGTGGCGACATAGAGATACGTTAAGGAAAGTCAACTGGATCACAAGAAACATGACTATTACCTTTCTTTGGGTGGGAAGATCAGCAAATTCCTTAGCGGATGGGTTAGCTAAGGGACTTCAAGGGAACTTTTATTTTGGGCTGCTTTGTAATGCTAGTTCTGGTTAATTTTGGTCAATTCTGTTTTTAATTTGATGTAATACTTGTTAGAAGAGGTAACAACTCGTGCCTCCTCTTGAGTCTACTGTATTGTCTCATATTTCTGATTTAATAAATCATACTCATTCATAAAAAAAAAAAGCTTTAAATTACTAACCCACCTAATCTCCTCCCCACCACAAAACAGAATTGTGTCATCCGCAAATTGTAGATGAATGACCGGAACCTTGTCCCTCCCAACTCTCCAACCACTTACCAAGCCTCTAGAATTTACTTTCTCAATAAGCCTCCCTAACACTTCAGCAATCGGGATAAAAAGGAAGGGTGAGAGGGGGCCCCCTTGCCTAATACCCCTAGTAGCTAGAAAATGATCTACCACCCTGCCATTCACCAGTATAGAATAGTGGCATGTTCTGCTACACCCTTTTATCCACTTGCACCACCTCTGCCCAAAACCAACGGACTCTAATACTTCTAGCAACAAGGACCAATCAACCAAATCATAAGCCTTCTCCAGATCCAATTTGCACACCAGCCCTTTCTTCCCTCTTCTTTTAAAATCTTCCACTCTCATTTGCTATTAAGATTTGGTCTACAATTTGTTTATTCTTCACAAAAGCACTTTGATTAGGGTATATGATTGTGGGAAGCACCTCTCTAATTCTTCGGGATAACACCTTAGCAATGATCTTATAGAAGCTATTTACCAAACTGATGGGTCTAAACTCTTTAGGGTGGCAAGCTCCCTCCTTTTTTGGAATTAAGGCAATAAAGGTAGAGTTCAGGCCTGGATTTATCACCCCTCTTTAAAAGAATTCCGAGAAAAACACTTTGGATAACAGCCTTAATTATCTCCTAGCAGTCTTGATAAAAAGCCATCGTGAAACCATTAGGGCCCGGGGCTTTAGATCTATTCATAGAGAAGATGGCATCCTTTATTTCTTCCAGTTCAAACTCTCTTTCCAACCACTCAATCAACGCATGGGGAGCCTTGGTCAATCCAACCCTTTAATCCTTAATCTCTTGTTTAGAGGCCTTCTGAAGATAGATTTGAAATGTTCCACAAAGCCCCAACAATCTCATTTTGTTGGGTTAAAGTTGTACCATCAACCACCAATTTAGAAAAGAAGTTCTTCTTTCTTCTGCCATTAGCTATAGCATGGAAGAATTTTGTATTCCTATCTCCTTCTTTTACCCATTTGTGTCTGGATTTTTGCCTATAGCATGGAAAAATATTGTACATATGCTGTCTTTGAACTCCTTGTTTTGCTAAACCATCTACTAAAACTATTAGCAGATCTCCTAGCCTACTTGATTTGAATTATCATATCTCCTAGCAGATTACCCCCTCACCTTTCTTTATCCATCCCACTATCAGCTTGAATCTCCTTCAAGAATCAATCTTGCAATTCACATATCTCTAGCCAACTTAACCCCAAACACTGCAGCAAAGGATTCTGCACTTACAGCATCATCTTGCTCAATTGGGCCTGAAAACAAAGCACGTATACAGCCACCCTCATCTCTTATCACCCCTCCAATTCCTGATGGGCCTGGATTGCCCAGACTACTCCCAACAAAATTCAATTTTAACCACCCACCTATTGGGGGAGACAACACCTCAAGGGGTTTTGGTTTCCTAGAGGAGGATCGAGCATATGCCTCCCCCAAACTGTCTCTCAAAAATTCTTGAGTTTCTTTCTTCCCAAACTGTCCAATCACTGCTGCCCGAGTGCACCTCCACAGAATCCTGCCTCTCTTGGATGTGCAACTCAACATAGAAGGGCTAAACAACCTTTCCAAGCTTGGTGGAGGATTCCACCTGAAGCCAAAAAGAGAAACAAACCATTCCCAGATACAGTAAACAAAGGGATGGGAGATTAAAAGATGGAAAGCAGCCTCACCATGTAGCTTACATAAAAAACACCAGTTAGGGGCTAAGGACCAATCTGGTCTTTTTGTTAATTTCCTTCAAGTGTCAGTTATATGCCTTTTTTTTTCCTTTCAGATGGTGTAAATATCTGGAATTTTTTTCAGGTCAAAATTAATGAACTTGTGAACCCCAATAAAGCTGTTGCTGATTATAGAACTGATATTACTGGAATCTCTGCAAAAGATTTGGATGGAGTCACCTGTACGTTGGCAGATGTACAGGTAATATAACATCTCTTTGAAAGTTATCTGGAGCTACTTGTTTTTTGAGTGTTTTCTTGAACAGACTTAAGGCCTTTTACAGAGATCACTGAAGAAGCTATTAAAGCATGGGGCTATTTTAATAGGCCACAGTCTGAATAGTGATCTAGAAGGTATTTTAAGGATCATATTCACATTTCAATCTGTTTGAGTTTTCTACCCTGTGAATTCGTTGGATATATTTTAAAAAACTGCTTCTCTTTAAGATGCCTCAAATTGGTAGCTTTACATTCTTCTATTTCTGTTTTACAGCACTGAAATTGGATCATGCCAGGGTAATTGATACATCTTTCATTTTCAAATATATAAATGCTCCTGTTACCAGAAGGCCTTCCCTAAATAATCTATGTAAGGTAAGTTTCTGAAAGAATTCTTATCATCATTTGGGCATATTTTAACTTCTCTAGGTATAAACTGATTAAGTTTCAGTATACTAATTATTTGGTCTTTTTCTGTCCTTTGGCCATTACATTATCCACATTAGTGCTTGGTAAAACTGGCCAAACACTCTAAACATAGCCTTGCCAACATTCTGAGTCCTTTAAATGTTTGATTTGGATGATTTATCTATTTACAATTCATTCCCTCCCCACCTTCTCTCCTCAGTTCCCCCTACCCAGAAGAAGAGGAAAAGAATTGTTCTGTATGTATGTGGATCTATGTTGGTAAATGATTTGCAGCATGGCAACTAAACTTCCATTGCAGTATATTGCTATATCAGTCTATCACTTTGTCAATGATTTATGAAATAGATAAGGCATTTAATAGTTCTTCACTTCTTCTAGCATTGAAAATAAAAGAAAAGCATCATACTAATTTTATCCACAATGTTTTTTCCAATATAGGCTGATAAATAACATTTTGTGACATAGTGGGCATTGCGTTTGAATCAACTTTTTTTTTTCTTGGGGCTACACAATGGGGCAGCAGGATTTGATCCCAAGTCTCCACTACAGACTGCCAGAGGTCTTACCAACTGAGCCACCATCAGTTGGTGTGTTTGTATAAACTTTTAGACACAAAATTGATGTAAATTAATACACCATTTATGGTTGATAATGATGCTTTTTCATTAAGATTTGGTAGTGAGATTTTTAACCTTGTTTATGATTTACTAGAGTGACTGGTTTGTTTTGAACTATTAGAAACCTAAATGTTTTTCCATTGGTTTATCACTTGGCAGTCTGTTTTGGGGCATGAAGTTCGGAAGCAAGGTGCCCAGCATAATTGTCTAGATGATGCATTTGCAGCAATGAAATTAGTTCTTGCCAAACTAGAGAAGGGATTTAATGAGGGTATTACCATGCCTCACGAAGATGTAAGTGAATATATAAGATGTCCTAAATTTTATATCTACCAATCATAAAGCCTTGCTAATTTCATCATGTTCTTCAAAACTATAGATACCTGAAACAGAACTAGCGAAGTTGCTGATTCATGGAATACCAGTTGAGGTGCCCAGCAAAGAATTAAAGAGAATCTTTCCCACGGACTACATGGTTGAATTTCAGGTTGAATATTTTTACTTGGTTCATTTTTTGTGGGAATTCAATTTTAGGAATAAATGGATTCAATTAAAGCATTTCAATCATCCAGGGTTTTGGGTTTCACCATCTGATGGATTTATTAGGACCTGTGCAAAATTTGGCCTAGTTGGAAGATCAAGTAACCCAAAATTTGTGGCCCATTTTTAATAATTAACTCTTAGACAGTGACTCAGTGAGCACGTGGCTAAATGTTTTGTTGGCAGCCCAATTTAAAAGTTCGAGGACAAAAATATTCTACATTTGCCATTTTCAAGGATGCACAGGAGGCAAGTCAAGCATTTGAAAGAATTGAAGGCATCAGAGAAAAGGTACATACCAATCGAATTGACCCTAGTTCATTTGAAGTTTTAATAAGAGATTGCATATTGAGCAATATTTGAAGTTTACTTCACTTTTATCAATAGAAATTCAAGTTACACCAATTTAAAATTAAAAGAGTCCCAACTGCATTGTTGATAGATATGTCATGGTTAACCAAGCCATTAGGTTCTCACCTATTATATCGAATGGAGAATTACTCTCTTTCACACTCATACATGGGTGCATTTTGGTGTTTCCATGTTGTACTTGGGAGTTGTAAGGGTGTCCATGGACCGGTAATTGGACGGTCCAGACATTGAATTGGAACAGTCCAAAATATTCATTGGATTGGATTGGACCTGGTCCATTTATAATGGACTCACATTGGACTGTATCGGATTGGACCAAATCCAGTCCAACTGACACCCCTAGGGAGTTGGGACTTGTGAAGTTTGTGACCCTGCATTATTTATAAGTTATAGCTGAACTTTTTTTTTTTTTTTTTTTTTTTTTTGATAATTCAGCTGAAACGTTCTTTCTAGATAGGGAACAAACAATGTTAGCCCAATTTTTCAGTCGGAATATGGTAGAAAACTTGTGAGGCAGTGATGCTACACCATCGAGGAAATGACACTTAGGTATTTTGATCATTAATTCATCATACAGGTTATTGATGATTCCGGATCTGTGGCAAACATAGATCTGTATAGTGGGCCACCTAACCAATCACAATCACAATTTGTGTCCAATGCATATATAAAATTGGTGTGTTCACTCGTGGTTGGTTACATAATCCATCATTGTCCATGCATTTGTTTGCAGCAGATCGCAATGCATTGATGATCAATATGGAAATTGAAACTGACGTAATTTTTCGATCCTCCCTCTGTTAGGACTCGCGAGGACGACCCCAGAAATTCATCTCATTTCAACTAAGCACTGGAGCAACTACCAGCCTCTATGTTCGTAAGATGGCTACTGATGACCTTGATCCATCTGTTGAATCAAAGAAGAGATTGCTTCAAGAGGAGAGGATCATAAATGAGACTAAGAAGTCGAAGATGATGACCGCCGAGGAGTCAAAGCCAAGCACCGAATCAAATCAATGTGAGCACCTTATCAAGGAGATAGAAAGATTGAAAGAGGAACTTAGTAAAAGGGAAGAAGAAAACCGTAATTTGCAAACGATCATGGCTGCTCTTATAAGGAAAAGTGGGCTTTGAAATGTATTTTCATTCATAATGCAAACCATCTAGGTGTTGGTTTTTGACTTTTTTCATTATATATGATATAAACGTAGAACAGGAATTTCTTTCAGTCAAATCATGCATTGCATCGAACAGCTTGAGAAAAACAGGTAAACAGAGAATAGACACTTTCACGCAAAGAGTAAAACTGAGGAGATTTTATCTTAAAATTCTCCAGAGTTAACGCTAAATACAAACGATACAGGAGATAAAAAGGCACAAAATGCTAATATCACTATATAATAATGACACTATATAATAATGACAATGATGCCACTGCTTCACCAAGTGCAGAATCGTATCAATAAGGCGGTGGGGGATAGATTCCAGGGTATGGACCTGCAACAGCATTTTAGCTGGCAATCAGAAATTTTGCAAGATTTCTCCGTGATGAAGGAGGATAGAAGATGAGTAGAGAGTTAAAAAGTAATATACCTGGTGGATAATAAGATGCTGCTGGCGCAGGGGGATAAGGCTGTGGTGGGTATGCCGACGGCGGGTAAGACGGGGGAGGATAAGCAGCTGGTGGAGGGGGTGGGTAAGCAGGTGGTGGATATGCTGCTGGATTAGGTGGATATGAAGAATAAGGAGCTACCGCCGGGTAGGTTGTTGCCGGTGGTGGGTAAGCGGCTGTAGCTGCAGGGGGGAAGGGATATGGAGGGGCTTGGGGTATGGCTGGTGCTACATATGGCGGTGCTGATGGAGCAAAAGTTGTCGCCGCCGGCTTCTGCAATGTCCAACAAAGTAAAGTTTGATTAATTAGCATCTGCGATACTATTGTTACCTATACATACCTACAAGGCTACAATATATGGAATAGAGCTTACATTAGCGTTTTGGTAATGCAGTATGAGTCGAACTTCTCCCGCGTATCTACATGGAGGAGGGAATCAAGCAAGAAAGTTGTTCAGTTACGATTGATACATAAGCCTTTCCGCTGGGTTTTGGTTTTCCTTACCTCCCACTTTTGCCTTGTAGCGGCCAGGTCGTGTCGTCGAAACCCTGGGAAAGAACTTTTTGGAGTTGAACCCTAGAAGAAGCAGTAGAACCAGGGTATTAAATTATGAGATAGAAATGTATGAGGGGAGGGCGGAGGAGGGTGGAGACTGGAGGGGGAAGACTCACGTTCCGCTGCCAATGAAGTCGTCGTATGTGAGGGTGTTGCTATTCCAAACGTTGACTTTTAACTCTCGGAGGCCTTCAATTAGGATTATGTTGAACTTCTCCTGGAAGGTAGGGTTCTTACCACCGTCTGTGATCATACGGAGATTATGACAAATATGATTTACTAAAAGTGAATCAGGACAGAGTGCCTGATTTGAGAAACTGGATAGATAGACAAAAGAATTGTCCTGGTCCATGAGATCTGAGAAGGAGAGGGATGATAAAGAAATGAATTGGATGAAAAGCACATACCTGTACAGGTCCTGGTTCGGAACTTGGTACCTCCATACTCAAGGCAGACATATGGGTCCTGCCTTGAAATCCATTCTGTATCCTTCAACCTCGTACACCCGACGACTACAAGAAGAACACAATGAATATAACCAGGATGAGAATGAAGACGGTGTCAATACTCAGTAACAGTATTGAGATCGAGGAAGGGCATACCAGTGACCTCGAACAGCTGACCTTGAATCCCACTAATCGACATGGAATGGGCACGCTGTCGATTTATTTTCTGGATATTTGATTCATCAAACACTCGAAAGTCGAATGACGAAACTGTGATAGTGTGATGTGCCCTTTTAGAGAGAGAGTAGCAGGGGAGAAAGGAGAAGGTGTTTTTTTTTGTTCTTTCTATTTTCGTTTATTTAAATTTTAGGGTAAAAACTTTGGGGGTAGCGAAGATGTGTCACTCCAGTACCCAAACTTCAATTTGGCCTCTACCGTTAATATTCCATCCGTTATATCCATCACGTGATGACATGTGACGATTGAAAATTTTCAATATATCCGAAATACCCTTGAGCAAATTTGAGGACCATTTTAACTGGCGGATTTCTTTTTCTTGCATGGCGGTCAGAATCTTGAATCATATTCACCTTCGGAGCTCTTGTAAACCGTCGAAACATTGCCAAAAACCGCGGAAGAATTACAGTCGACAATGATTCCACTAGCCTTGCCGTAAACAGCTTCTCCGACGGTGCTACATGCACTATATATATAGCCTCTGTTGTTCGTCAGTTTCTCAGATTCTATAGCCTCAGGAGGAGCTAACTAATCTAAGGTTCAAATCGATACCAAACCCCCACTTCGTCGAGAACAAAGCCCATTTTTTTTAGTCGGACTGTGCACCTCGTGTTGTAATCCATTGTGGCATTGAGTACTCAATGGGGAGCTCTTTATAGATTCCGCAAAGTCGAATAGACGAACGAGAGGAAATGATGTCTATGATCTTTTTCGAGCACATTTGAGTAGTGGAACGGCCATGGATTTTATGAGAGACCAAAGAGCTTACATGATTCAAATGCTTGACCAACGAAGACAACGACGCCATTGCTGCTTGAACATATATAAATATGAATTGTGAGAAAGCAACAAGAGACTAGAGACTAACAAAGAGGAAGAGCGTACAACGGACGGGGAATGGGGAGCGGAGTTATGTCGTTACGTCGGAAGGGGCCACAAGGCCTACCACGTGAATAGAAGAAGCATTCACTCACTCACTTTCTATCTATCTATCTCACAGCAGCGCTTGTTCATCCATACATCCTTTTTAACGTCCCATCTTCCCCATTTTCTCCCTTCTTCTTCTTTTACTTCTTTCTTCAGTACTGTTTATTTCTTCCTTCCAAAAATTAACCCTCTCTCCTATCTCACAAAAACCTTATGACCAACCCATAAAAGATGATCAAAATTGAGGGAAAAAAAATGAAGAAATGATAGAGAAAAAAGAGAGGAAATCTTCTGCTTCTAAATGAAAGATCCTTAGCTGAGTTAGAAGAAAACCTAGCTACAGCTAGCAAATCCAATCTACAACCGGGAGAGAAATTGGAAGAAGAAAACGCACAGGAGAAATCAAAGAAGAGAGGGAGAGATAATCACCAAGGAACCCAGAGGAAAGAGGAAAGTATCAATACCCAGCAAGAGGAATAAAGGGAAAAAGGACAGAAGAGTTATGGAAAGAACCCTGCCAAACTCCGGCCAAGGTCCGTCGGCAACGGGTGGTGGGGCGCAGAAGGATCGTCGGCAGCTCCATTGAGTCGGTACGAGTCACAGAAGAGGCAAGACTGGAACACGTTCCTACAGTACCTGAAGAACCACAAGCCCCCTTTATCGCTAGCAAGGTTCAGTGGTGCGTAATCGAGTTCTTGAAGTACTTATACCAGTTTGGAAAGACGAAGGTGCACTTAACTGGGTGTGCCTACTTCGGACACCCATAACAACTTGTCGAGAAATCTTCCGCTTCATCCTTCACTCCGGCAACAGCAAAGCCTTCCTCTAATATTCTCCGACGACGGCGGCAACCTTAAAACTAGTCTCTTGTGTTAAATGGTTCGTAATGAACTTAAACTATCGTAGACAAGGGTTTCTTCTAAATTGATCATTGGTGGCGACTGAAAACACCGGAATTCCTCTCCGACAACGATTTCCAAAACAAACCCGCCTACGATGAATGCTGCAACTTCGAACAGACCACTGATGATTAAGTGATTCTCTAAGCAAATAGGGATTAACATGGGCAGTTTGACATTTTGAAAAACGCATTCTCTCTCTTTTTTGACCGCCAAATGTATTTATGTCATTACACTTGTCTGTTAACGACGGTTTGGGAATTGATAGTTTTTGAAAATTTAGATACTACAGTAAAACATTTTGAAGTTGATACTAATTTGACTAAATTTCCAAAGTTCAGGTACTAAACTGAACTTTATCCTAAATTTTAACTACGTTCCTACTCTATTGCACATCCCTAGTAAAAAGAATGTCAAAAGACGAAAAATGCCTCAAAAAGTATTCACGTTGACTAACTTTCACACTTTTTTGAGTTCATTAGAAAATTAATTAATTTAGTGATAAATAGCCACATCTTAGTCTAGTAGTAGCCTCCTATAAATCGCATCCTGCCTGTCTGTGAATTTGACATCAATCCATAGTTAAGATGGAGCTAAGTTTTCTAAGGGTGGATTGAATGGTTAAAACTCCTAAAATTTATTTAAAAAGCCTGTTCTGCTTATCAAAATTCGAAACTGTGATGTGCCCAAATTACTCCTATGGATGCTTGTTGACGAATGATGACATGGACTGCGATTTAAGGAAATGGAAGCTGGTGCAGAAATCCCTGACTGAATAAAATGGGCCAAAAGGAGAATGACCATTCAGTCCAGGGTTAGAATTCATATATAGGCTCAAAGTAAAGTTGGGGTAGGTGCCAGTTCGAAATTGATGCTAATTTACTGATGGATATGGGTGCATAAAATGTGGGTTTTTGACTTTTTAAATATTTATAAATTTGCAGAAGAATTCAAAGACCTACAGTAGGTCTGTTCGTACTTTTCCGCCAAATAAATTGCATATAACTGAGTACAAGTACAATCCAATAATCGGATATGCAGAAATTGCCAAATCCTATATGAAATACTTCAAAATTTTAATTTTTAACAAAAAGAAACTTCTTATGCTTAAATGATTATCGGGTACCTGGTAATTATTTGGATCATACTAGATTCGGTTCTATTTTAAATAATATTTTTTAGGTGAGTGGGCATGAACCAAAATGAGTGCAGCATTTGCTATAAATGCAACACAATATTACAGACAAAGTAGGCCCAAACCAAATGATATATTCTTCTTTTTTAAGAGAAATGGTACATTGATGAACACTAATCTCCAAAATGCCAACCAACTCTGCTGGTAAAGTCAAGTGTGTGACTTGAAAATTGGTGTGAGACAGGTAGACGTGCAATTTGGGTTGGGTTAACCTGAATCCAATGGATCGGGTTTAATACTGGTTTAGAATTGGGATTGAAAAATATGAATCTGAATTTAATTCGGGTTGTGTTAGGATTTGAGGTCGTGGGCAACCCGATCCAACTCAATCCAAAGCCACATACACCAATGATTTAAGTTCAAAGGGCTATGTTGTTCTTGGTGTAACATAAACATTAATGTTGATGGACTACCCTCACTCTAAGAAATGAGAACATTTAATTGGGAAGAAACAAAAAAAGAAGTGAAAAGACTGGGGCAACGCAAAATTGACTCCATTTCATCTTCATATAACGTTGGGTTAGGGTGGAGAAATTCTAGAATGGGTTGGATTAGGGTCAGTTTGGTGGTTCAAGAGCCAACCTGAGAAATGGTTTAGAGGCCCATGATCGATGGATGTGATATTAACCCCATATAATTGGCTGAATAGGGTTCTAATTTTTTTTGTGATCAACCCTGTATAATTGGGACAAGGCATATATGATGATGACTGAGGAGATGTTGGAATGTCTATGTGTTATGCATAAAAGAATCTATTATTGCTGAGATACATATACACCACATTTTCTTATCTGGCTAAAATAGTTCAGACCATCCAATTAGACTCTTTAAACCAAACGGTTCTTTTGCCTTAACTTTAACCCGTCTTATGAAATCTAGTCTTTGCCATCCACATGATTCCCCACAAGATACCTACCCATTAGTAATTTTCACAAGGGAGATATATTCCGGGCACTCTCCCCTGAATAAGTGGGGTATCTGCTTTATATAATCACTAGCGGAACCGTGCGGATTTATTTAGCAAACTTGAAGCAAAAGGAATTATTAGATAGGGTAGAGTCATTCTTAGTTCAATTAAAGCCTTAATAAGGGCATTATAATTATAAGTTAATTAAATTGATTTAGTGTGCAATGCACAGGAATTTTTATTATATTATGTGAATAGTATTCTTATTTTTAGTTATTATTTAATAAGTAGTGAGGACTGCTTTGAAGGTGGGCTGTCGGGCTGATGAAGGGAGTTAGTTGAAGAATTTAAAGGAATGGATAAAATTTTCAGAATTATCAACAACAAATAAAAAAGAACAAAATTATACCTTTTAATTAAATACAACACATAAAATTAAAGGAAGGTCCAAAAATAGGCATATAGAAATTTCAATTGGTGCAGAGAGTTTTTTTGGTAGAAAAGAAATTTATTGATAATTAAGGAGGATACATCATTTCTTAGAATTTCGATTAGCCAACTTGGAATGAGATTCCCTTGTGATATTAATATGATCGATGTTAAAGCATGTTGAGCTAAAGAGTAGGCTACCTGATTTTGAGTTCTTCGAAAATGCCAGATTGACAAGGACACAAAGCTTTCTTTGAGATGATCCAGATCTTTAATGAGGTTAGCCGTTGCCGAAAATTCTCTGAAATTACCATCTTTGAAGGAAGGCCTTAACAACCTTAGGTGCATCCATTTAAAATTTAATATGAGAGGTTTGCGATGATGCACCTTCAGTGAAACCCAATTTCCCAATTTTAGCGTGCATAGTTCTGCTCCAACACTCAAGTGCAGTGAATCGACTTTCCATTGGCTTGAACTGTGGAGCATCTACAAAATTAGAGAAATAAAACTGTTAGACCTGAATCACGAAATATAATTTAAAAAAAAAAAACAAAAAATTTGTTAAACCTGGACTGAAGAAAGGAGATCTATATAGAGAGAGAACCAAGGAAAACCTTCAACTGTAGAGCATATACAAAAGTAGAGAAATAATAATGTTAGACCTGAATCACAAAATATAAATTAAAGAAACAAAATAATTGTTAAACCTGGACCGAAGAAACACCCTTCTCCTACAATTAGCGAACTCCAAAAGT